CATCCCCTTAAGCAGAAAAATAAAAATTGTGTAAAATTGAAATATGACCTTGCGAAAGAAATCAGTCGATATGTACTAATAGTAACAAAATTAACAATTAATATTGTGATCAAATATTATTCAATTTCTTTCTAGAATAAAGACATTACCGAGGTATTCTCCACACACTATACAGAGAAAGTCTCTCGTGAATATACATCTTGCAGAACAGTTACCGAATAATACAATGAAGACTTTCGTGCTTGCTACGTGTCTATTAGCCGTAAATATAAAGCAAAGACGTATACTTAGTTGCTAAATACATTTTTAAGTACAGTTTATACTTGGCGCGTGACACTGCGGTGTCTCTTGATATATCAAATATATAAAATGTAGAAATTAAATTTCGCTTGTCTGAAAATATATATTATGTATGTGTTTATGTGTATCACTAAATATAAATATCACGTTATATTGTATACTTACATTTAAATATTATTCATTATTTATTTCTTATAATTAAAAGAAATTATACTATGAATCTATAATAATCTTTACAACTAAAATGTTTATGTGTATGAAATATTTATATATGTATTTTTATACATGAAAATAATCAGTTTTTCTTTTAAACGTTAGACGGTAATTTACGCAGTTGACCACGAGCAACTAAAACATATGTATGAACTGTTTAATGAATGTATCAAACATGAAAATATTACGGGTGAGTATTAAACATTAAATATTCAATTTTAAAGAATTAGTTACACTTGACAAATAAATATTAAAGGAACTAAAACGTAATTTTTATTTAAGTTAGATTAATCAATATAGTCAATAAATGAAATTCCAACTCGCTTGTTAAAATTAATATTTAGTCTTAAAGTGAACTTACGAATTTATTATTAGATCGCATAATTTAATTACAAAATCATATACATTTTAAATTGTAATAACAAATCTGTAAATTTATTTTGCAGAGAACGTGGAATTACGACCCGATGTGTGGTTTTGTGTATTGTCGAAGCGCGGCGTAGTACGTATTTCTATAAAATAAAAATTATATAACAATAAACTCACACGTAACTGGCTTAATTTTATTAACGTTTGCTATAAATTTTTATGTATCGTTGTTGACCCTCTAATATATGAATAATAATATTTTTTAACAAAATCTATCTTCAAAGATAATCGGTAGATTAACAACTTTTTTTATCATAAATTAATTGGAAAAAATTTTATCTTATAATTAAACAAGTACATTAATTTCTACATTATATTAAATAATTAATAGAATAGTACGTAAAAGCGTGTGTGATTCAACTGACAGAAATATCTACAAAATATACTTACATTCCAAATGAAATTACATATTTATGTAAATAATGCGTTAAGGTTAAGATGTGGTTTAAATTTCAGTTTCAAAGAACCCTGATGAAATTGCTTTAAATATTTAACCACAATTCGATGTCCGCGAAATTGTAGGATCAGAGACATGGCAGTGAGGTGACTCATCTGGAAACGGCGAGGTTCGAATCGTGGTGTCATTATTTTAAGTACGAATAATCATTCAGAAATACAAGTCCATGTTCATTTGAGCCCTAGAAATAAAAGAGAATTGAATCTACGGTCTCCACATCCCGATTCGAATCACGCAATCTTTCGACAGGCCGTTTTACTGCAATGCCTCTGATCATGGAACTTTGCGGACATTTTTGTTAGTGAGGTGCACCGAATTGTCCCTAAGATGGATATCATTGGGATCGGTGAGAAAAATCCAAAAATAATATCAAATCGCGGTTGAAGCAGTTTTATCATGGTTCTTTTATTGTTTAACTGTGAATGATGAGGTCATTGTTTGTACAGATTGATGAAAATGATGTTATAGTAAAAGAAGAAGCTATGTCATATTGTGAGGCAGTCACAATTTGTCCACAAGGCTGCAAGAAAATCGTTACTAAGTGCATACGTGAAGGTAATAACCTAAATACATTTTAAAATAAAACTAATTTTTAATAAAATATGTTACAGTTATATTGTTGAATCGAGATCAGTATAATAATTATTCGTTTCTTTTACTATTAATTTCTTTTCAGGGAATCAAGTTCCAGGATCCAATAAAGAGAAAAGCCTAGCGACACTAGAATGTGATTTAAAAAGCGATATATTAAACTTGGTTCCAAAAAGAGAATAGAAAAAGTACAATAAAGAAAGATTTGTT